CCACTCAGGATTCTGCTACCCAGAAGTCTTTGCAGTTTGGCCTGTATCATTGGCGCAACTGGAACAAGCCAATCCTCCCAGACCTCAGTTTTCAGACCTATAAAATAGAGGATGTGGTACCACAACTTATGAGACTTTTTGGAAAAATTATATTCTGTTATACAGCAGAGCCCTGACCTCAGAGTGTGGCCTTTAAAAAATACAAATGAAAAAAGACTAAATCCCACCCTAAACCAAATAAATCAAGAATCTTTGGGCGGGTGAGACTGGATATGGTTATTTTTCCAAAGCACCGGGTGGTTCTGCTGTCTAAAAAGGTTGAAACCCATTGCTTTAGGCAATACAAACACAAATAAAATGTTATTTGTTTACATGAAATCTTACAAAAAAAGAGTTTAAGACGGTGGTGGCAAATCCTTTAGAGCGTTCAATGATACAGGTTCACCACCACTGGTTTAAAACAAAGTCCTGATAATATAAAAAGCCTCCAAAAATTATCCAGTATGACAACTTATTAATGGGTGTGGAGCTATAAAAACACTTCATAAATTACAGACATAGAAAGCGAATAGTTACTGGATTCTTCTCCGGCACTGAAGAACACCCCACATGCGGACTGTAGACAAGCCTAGCAATGACACCTAGAGACAAACAGACAGATACTCTCTCCACTCTGAAGAGTGGTGACTGTGTTTCTGCCGGTATGGGACGAACTGTGTCTCTCCAGCATTCCTCTGCTACACTCCTAACCCCCGGGGTACCAGTGGCCATGTTTGGAGACAGGATCTTTGCAGAGATAACAGGTTAAAATGAGGTGGCAGGGGAGGGCTAATCCTGGGTGACTGGTGTCCTTAGAAGATGATGGAATTTGGAAATCGATATATATATATACAAAGGAGCAGTAGTGTGAAGATACAGACAGAAGGCTGCGGTCCACAAGCCAAGCAGAGAGGCCTGCACCTTGCAGCCTTGGGAAGGAGCCAAGCCTGCCAAAGCCTTGATAATGGACTTGTAGCCTACGGCCATCCCTCAATGCACCCAATCCTCTCTGGTAATGGACTCTTAGCCTCCAGAATTGTGAGAAAAATTACTCTGCTGTTTAAGTCACCCAGCTGACGATACCTTTTTATAGCAGCCCTAGGTTAAACACCTGTGAGAGACCTAAAGTGTTGGTGAAAAAATAGCCACCATGCCCCACTTTATCAAGAAACATCAGGGAAGAGGATGGATATTTATAGGTCCCTGAAGTTGAGTACTTTGAGTGTTTGACAGGAAGGTAATTTCAAATATGACAGAAGGCTGTGTTTGTCCAAGAAAGGTGAATCACTATGTGTGCTGGCTCACAGCTGTCTTCCGAAGGAACTGCCCTGGCTCACGACCCTTGCTGCCTGCGTGGAGCTTCTCTTTCCCCTCAAGACTGTGCCACAGCCCTTTTCATGGTGCTGGGAACAGAATCCCAGAGACTCATGAATGCTATAAAAGCACTAAGCTACACCTCCAGCATAGCCCTAAACTGATCTTCCAGGAAAACCTGTGCTGGACCAATGAAATTCTTTCCCTAGATTTTGGACTCATGCTGTTTAGCTGTAATGAACAGAGCTGCAGAGTTGTACTGGGTTTTTGGGTTGAGGCCACTTGCCTGGGCTGTGTTCTAGAGGAGTCTTAAAAGGAGTCAGAGGGGAGGACAGAGTGGGCATGTGGCATAAACAGGGACTTTGGCTCCTAAGCTGAGCTAGCTTGGTGGGTTGCCAAACCCACACCCAGAAACATTAGCTGGAACCCATGATATCTAGAGTAAGGGAACTAGAGACAACATTCTTTCCCAAGGGGCCACATAAAATCAGCCTTGTCTCTTAGCTGGACAAATGCATAACCTCTCAGGTTGAGAGGCCCTAGAAGACACCATTAGCATCAGCATGGCTAATATTTTCTGAGAAATCAGGAGGAGCCAGACCTTCTGCATTAGCTTTCAACCTTTTGACACAGAACTCCAATATGCTAATATTATTTTCGTTTTATACATGAGTAAAAGCAGATATAAGAGAGGTCAAGAAAACTGCTTTTAGTCACTGTATTAGCTTTCCATTGCCGGAACAAAAGTCATGACATATGCAATTTAAACAAGAAAAGGTAAAAAAAAAATTTAAAAATAAAAAAAAAAAATTAAGAAGAAAAGGTTTAATTTGGCTCCTAATTTCAGAGTTTCAGTCCATAATTAGTACTCCAAAGCAGAAATATTGCGGTGGAGGGGATGGCAGAGGAAGGCTGCTCACCTGATGGTAGCCAGGAAGCAGTGAAAGAGCAAGAGTGCCAAGAGAGAATGGTCAAATAAATAAATAAATAAATAATAAAAATAAAAAAGAGGGAAAGGTCACCCTTCAGATACGCTCCCAGTGACTGCTTCCTACGACCTAGCAACACATGCAACTGTACACTTGTCAATGGGTTACTCTACTGACAGGGTCAGTGCCTGTGATCTAATTACTTTCTAAAAGCCCCACCTCTGAACATGTGGGCATTTTGGGGGACATTTTGTTTTGTTTCTTGTTTTTTGAGACAGGTCTCACTGTATAGCCTAGGCTGGTCTCAAACTCATGGCAATCCTCCTGCCTCAGCCTCCTGAGTGCTGGATTATAGGCATGCGCCACCATGACCGGCTGGGGGCCATTTCTGATGCAAACCATAACAGTGACATAGTATAGTAAATTGATGACAGAAATGTCACAATTGTATCCTCGTCCTTTGTATTGTGACTTTGCAGCTGCTCTCATCAAGAAGTGGAAGCTGGGTCATGTTCCAGACTGGCTTGGGCCAGGGGCTGAAATGACAATGTGTCAGCTCGGAGCCTGGGCTCCAAGATATCTTCAAGGCTTCAAGAAGCTTCTTAGAATCCCGTGTTTGCATGGAAATGAGTCTGGGATATTCCACTGCAAGAGAGACCCATAGCCCAGTCGTCCATGTGAACAACAGCCAGCCAACCTCTGGAGCTGTGACTGAGGCCACTGTGCATGAGCCAGCTGTTGTGTACATGAATGCAGCTCTCTTGGACGGCAGCCCCAGTCAAGCCACCTGCTGACCATAGACACCTGCACAGGTCCAACCCAGATCAGCCAAACCTGGACCAGATCAGCAGAACCACCCAACTGACCCACAGACTCCGAGTTACAGAACTTTTTAGTCCTCTAACCTGCTAAGTTTTGGTGGCTTTGTTACACAGCTACAACTGCTTGATATAAGTTAGCGAGTGATGGAGGATCAAGGACTTGACGTGCTAGTGACTGTCTTACTAAGTTTTCCCTTAATTATAAGCATTTATTTAGATCAATATTTCTCAAAGTGAGGTCTGCAGCTCACTTACATAAAGGTTACTGGCTAAGTACAAATTCATGATCTCATCCAAGACCCCCTGAATTTCACTCTGTTGGGAGTGGGTTCTGAAAATCTATTTTTAAACAAAGTTCCCCACTAATTTTCATGTACATTAAAGTTTAAGCACTGCTGCTTGGACTTCTTTGCTAAGACTTTTCTTTTCTTTTCTTTTCTTTTTGTTTTTTCAGACAGAGTTTCACTATGCAATTCAGGCTGGTCTTGATACGGGCTCACATTGTAGCCCAGGCTGGTCTTGAACTTGTGATGATCCTCCTGTTTCAGCTTCCCAAGTGTTGGGGTTACAGGTGTGCACCACCATGCCCAGCTTGCTAAGACTTTTCAACACAGTGAATCATTGCACTTTTTCTCCCCGCCCCCCGGTACTGGGAATCGAACTCGCGACATTGCACTTGCCAGGCAGGCGCTGTGCCGCTGAGCTAAATCCCCAGCCCCACTTTTTCATTCTAGTATCACTTTACAATTGCAGGTCCCTTAAGATTTTAGAGCAGAAGGGATATACTGCAGTCTGGTATAGCAGTACTCCCCTGTAATCCCAGTTACTTGGGAGACTGAGACAGGAAGATCACACAGTTTGAGCTTAGCTTGCACAAATTGGTGGAAACCGTTTCAAAGTTTAAGAAAGGGCTGGGAGTATAGCTCAGTAATATACTTGCCTAGTATGCTTGAGGCCCTAAACTTGATCTCTCAAAACACATGCACACACACATACACACTATACCGCACTTTTTTTTCCAGACCTGCAGAGTTTTAACACACTCATTAAACTTTTTGGTAAAAACAGAGTTACACATCAATGAGTGAACCAACCCAGGTGACACCATGGTTAAAATATAAAGTCTGTCATAATGTCACTCCTTGAATCTATGCTGGGAAATTAGTTTTTTCCTCTGTATTTTTCTTGTTATATACTCCCATGCTAGATATAGGAAGAGGGGAGGTAGAGGATGGAGCACTTTATAAGTACCAAGAATACTGACTGCTTTTACTGTTGTTATTGTCAATAACATTATTTTCGCAGAGCAGGCACTAAGACCAACGGGAAGGGACTTGACCAGAAATTGAAAGTTTGCTCAGGCTAAAGTACTCTTAACAGAAACACTTTCCTTCACCTTCTGAAGTAGCCATTAGAGAAAACTGTTGGAGCTCTTCACTGGGGTTGAATTCTCAAGTTCACCTAACCATTTTTAAAAGTTCAAAGAGTCTTAGTTTGATGTCTTTTTAGCTGATCTGTTTCATGGTACCATATTTTTAAAAAAGATTTCTTCACAAAAGGCAGAAAAAGGGAAAATAATAACAGATTAAAACTACTACAGAAAAGTACCTTTGGAAGCCTCTTCTTCAGATGATACTGGTGCTTAGAACTTTTTATTCAAAGCTTATTCTATATATATATAGTTCCAAAGGTGGAAGAAGCTCTGAAGAGTAAAAGCACCACGCTTTTGAAAACCCGCTGCGCAACTTATCTGTCACAGTACTGAAGTTTTGACATACTAGTCTGTGTATGACAAACTGCAAAACATATGCATTAAAAAAAAAGTAGACTCTTCATTTTGCCAATCCATGGGTAAAAACTTACTTTTGGAGCCACGCAGCTGTTAAAATCAGCCATATTTACAATTTTTATAAATGAGTTTATTTTAATAAAAACAAGTTGCTCTGTGAGCATGATCTCTAAACAGATTTATGTGGGCTGGCACAATCTGCTATGCTAAACATATACGCATATTGCTTAAAGTCTGCAGCCGTTTTTCTTCAAGTGGTGGTAAGTCATGCTTTGTACCGGGTACCAAATAATTGGCAGCAATTCAGCCGAGGACACTGTTCTCAGCACTACGCAACTGAAATTGTTTTCCTGGACAAACCTGCCCTGTGGGCCTGACCCTACACTGGGAAGACTCTGGGCTGCTGGCGTTGCAGTAAACCAAGCAGACAGCTTTTAGCGAGACGCAGGAGACCATGAACTGGTGCCAAAGCAGAGGAGGAGGAAGGCAAGAGGGAAGAAGGAAGGGAAGAGGGAGAGGAAGAGGGAGAGGGTGAGGGAGGGAAAGGAGGCAGGGAGAGAGCAAAGTAGTCTTCATCACAGGCCTACACCGCTGAGGGGTCAGTCTCTTCTTGATCTCTTGTCACCTTTCACTGTATGCATTTTTATGTTCGTTTGTTTAGTTCCGTCACTCGACCGGGAACTCCTGGAGGACAGGAATACAACAGGCCTCCTGGACCCTTGGATTCTATATCCTTACTTCAACCAATTGTAGGTAGAAAAATGTCAGCTGGGTGCACTCGTATTCAATATGCATCGACGTTTTCCTTGTCATTATTCCCCAAATAATACATATAACAGCGATTTACACTGTATTTGCATTGTACTGGGCGTTATAACTAATCTAGAGTAATTTCAAGTACACAGGAGGATGCGTGCCGGCTGTACGAAATCCTGCGGCACTTTCCACAGGAGCCGCCCGACTCCGGAATCCTTAAGGGTTCTTGGACAATCTCCCTGGATACAAGGGCTGACTGTGCGGCCTAACCCAGCTTTACAGTTTCCAAGTGCTTGGTATACAACCTGGTTAAATGCAAAGACAAAAAAGAGAATTGTGCATTGGAAGGATTTGCTTTCCTCCGATGTGCGTCCTGAGCAGGGCTCTCGGTGGGCAGTGGGCACGGCCCCCCACGGCGGACTGGGAGTTGGGGTGGCTTTGTCTTGGTAGTCCTCCGGCCAGGCGCGAGAAGCTGGCTGTTCTGTCGACGCTGCGTGCCCGGTGGTCTGCCTTCCCCTTCGCTCTGTAGCGGGCATCGCCCCCCGGGTCTGACGCCGCAGGGCGGTGGTCGGGCACTCCCGGGCCAGGCGGGCCGGCCGAGGCTGCGGCCCGC